GATGATGGAACAGAACTCAGACCTGCGAGGGTCCAAGGTCACAGAACACACTTATAGCAGGCAGAGCTGGCACTAGGTGGCCTCCTTAGCTTGCTCACCTCAGCAGGGGTGGGAGGAGGCTAAAGACTCTTAGAGATATCTGCCTTGGGAAATGCTGGCGGGTCCTTACAGGCAAACCACACTGCCATTGCTGCATTTGCAGAAGAAAAAGCCCTTGGGTGGGCTTTAGGGTGAGGATAGACTCTTTCAAAAGGCTCTTGGGCCAAGTACGGCAAGGACCTTGGTGCTTTTTGCCCCTGGGATAAATCCCAGGGTAGAGCACCTCCCCCAGAGGAAAAGGAAAAGGGGTTTGGTTTGGGCCTCTGGCCAGAGATTCTAGAATTGTCCTACTCATCTCCAAAAGGTCCTGGGTAAGTTGTCAGAAGAGGCAAAGACATTTCCTCAGAATCCTGCCCATCCTGATGAGAGATGCCCAAGTAAAATGAACTTGGGCAGGCAGGAAGGATCCTAATGGGAACTAAAGAGGTAGAGATATTTCTTGTGGAAGGAGTGGGGGCCCAAGGAACTTTATTTTCAGTGTGAAGCTCCTGCTTCCTTCCTTGTTCTCCAAACATGTGGACTGTCACATCAAGTCACACAGGGAGCAATTTCTAGTGTCTTTCTCTGCCTCCATGTCCTGGCCCTGCCTATTATGATGTCTGTTGGTGGGGCTCATGGCCATCCCAGGATTGGGCAATATTTTTGCAGGCTTCCTAATAGCCCTCAGAGGAAAGGACCCTGTATAGTGATGAACAGAATGTGCTAGGGTCTCTGTCACTGTATAAAAAGGTTCAGCAGGTGCCCTCTTCTGGGCCAGGCAGGGTAGCTCCCAGAGGAGGGCTGTGTTAGGAAGGACAGCCACTACTTATCAGCAGTTTCCTTCTCCTTGCCAACCCCAGACTGTCTTTCATTCTCCTCCATACTTTCTGACATGCGAGTCGCCCTCCTTCTGCTCAGAAGAATTGCTGGCAGCGACAGAAAGGAGATTACAGGCAAGGTTTCTGCCTCGAAGCTTTCTCCAGGCAGTAGGGAAACAAGGAGAACTAGCTGGTTGTCAGTTCTGGGAAAAGAGAAGCCTAGGTAGATTGTAGCCCTGAAGCAGCACCCTGCATGGGGCATGCTGATGTCACCTCTGATCGTCCTTTTTCTTGCTGATGTGCATTTTACAAATCTCTGGGTGGGAAGCCAGCTGACTTCTCCTCCCTGACACTGGTGTGATTCCTCTCTAGAAGTCCCAGTTCCCCCGTGCTATGAGGTGTGGCCATAGAAGAAAGATGAGGAACATGTGGCTGCAGGAGGACTTAGGTGGGGCACCTCTGTCCCCGCAGGGCCAGAAAGGGTATGATGAGAGACGGAAGCTGAAGGAGATACAAAAAGCAGGCAGGGCTTCCTCCCTTCCCCAGGACTGACCCTGACCCCATCCCTGACCACCCTCCACTGCAGGCTTTGGCAAAGGAGGGGATGGTGAAGTCGACTGCCAGGAACAGCATCATGCATACATTGAGGTGACAATGACTTCCTTTTTGTCTGTCTTCCCCACTTGACAGTGAGCCCCTTGAAGTCAAGGAGAGAGAGAGTGTGTGTGTGTGTGTGTATGTGTGTGTGTGTGTGTGTGTTTCATCTTTGGATGGTCAGGCCTGGGCACATGGTAGATTCTTAATATGATACACCTGAATTGAAGCAATTTGCTTCTGCCCAGAAGAGGAAAGGGGAAAAGAGAGAATAGTACAGACCTACCCAAAACAGCCAGTCTGCCATGTTGGTCTCAAGACATCCAGAAAGCGACATTAGCAAAGTTCCAAGGAATGGCTCACAGCACCACTCAGGGCACATCCACCTCTGCCATCCCCTTCAAGGATCCCAACATTGATTCAGCAACACGCTTTTTGGATTTGTAAGCAATATTAGAACAAAGGCAGGAGTCGGGGACAACATATCTAGAGTCAGAAGATACTACTTGCTGGCCATGTTCCTGGTCAAGACCTGTGCTTGACTTTCCTAAACCTCATTGTCCACATATATAAAATGGGAGCAACTGCCTGGCAAGGAAAAAGGGATTTCTCATATCCCACTGATAGGATGTAAAAGAATGTGACCTTTCTGCATGTAATTTGTAAAACCTCTTTAAAACAATCGTATTTTGGATTTGGCCAGTCCACATCTAAAAATTTGCCCAATAAGTTTCTATTTGTCTTAGAAAAATGATCAAGTCTGGTGCAAAAGTTAGCTATAAGAATGGGTATTTTTTTAATAACTGTAAAAACTGTAAATAATCTAAATAACATGATAAAAATTTGGCTGAATAATTATAGTACATCCATAGATACAATACTATATAGCCATTAAAATTAAAATGTATATTTCCCTTACATGAAAACTTTTTATAATATGTTGGTAAATATAAAAGGCTGGTTACTGAAGCATATACATAGTATGGTACTCTTCTCAGGAAAAAACAAATTCACTCCCAATATTGGCTGTAGTCATCTTTGTATCATAGTATTACATCTAACTTTTAGTCTCTTTATTTATCTATTTTCTACAATAAGCATGCGTTGTTTTGTAAAGATTACAGTAAAATGCCTACTCCTAAAGTTTAAAACTAAAGGAGATATTATACATAAAGGTATTTTGCAAACTGAAAAATTATACAGATATATGTTTCTGTCCAAGAGAAACTTACTGGAAAGATGTGACAAATATACAAGATGACTGTAGTATGAGACAGAATGTGACAAGACCTTTCACAGGACAAACAGCATGTTACTTGGAAACACAAAAGAGGAAAAATTACTTCTGGCCACAGAGACAGCTGCAGATTATTTGAGTTGAATATTGAAGAATAACTGTGGCGGTGATGGTGAACCTTTTAGAGTTTCAGTGACTCTGTGGCATGCATGCTGTAGGTTTGCCACCATTGGGCTATGGTTTTGTTGGGTGGAAATATAGAATTGAAGCACTGAGAGAAGAGGGAAATTGTGGGACAGGTGCAGAGCATGGAGAGTAGATGTGTTTAGGAGCAGGGTGGAAGATGAATCCAAAAGGTAGCTGAGGCAGCTGCAGGCACCCAAAGGGCCATGGGTAGTCTGATGCACGCCAGAGATGTTTGCTGAGTGCCTTCTATGAGCCAGGAGTCATTGGAAATCCTGGGGAAGGTGGTGACCCAGCTGTAAGCCAGGAACGAGTGAGCGAGTGCTCACTGCTGTGTTGGGCGTGCCTGGAATGGCATAGAGAGGGCCCATGGTAAGTGTGGAAGGAATCACCTGTCTGGGAAGCTCGGTCTGAATGCTGTGGTACATCAGTATGCTGGGGGCTGATGGTGGCGACAAAGAGGGGTTGTGACTGGCAAGGCCAGGGACCTCTCTTGGTTGCCGACATTGGAAATGGAAAAGAGGAAAGATGATCGTCACCATGACTAGGAAGGGATGAGAAGTATAGTGATAGGGAGTGAGAATTCCATGGGGCTTAGAGGAGGGAGAACGTGGGTTTGCAGCCTGTGTGGCCAGAGACCTGGGAGTTGTCACAGAGTTTACCAACATGGTCACATGGAGGAGGAGTAGGGTGCGGAGAGTGAGAGAGGAGTAATTTGGCCCTCAAGAAACCACCCACTTTCTGGTTAGTTCCGATCCTTGGGCTCCTCGGCATGGGTTCGGGGGACCTGCAAATGTGACTCGATATCCTTCCCTTCTTGGAAAGAGTCTGGGCTGAGGATATGAGTGAGTTGTTCATGGAAATGCATGAGCCACCTTGCTCACCCTAGGCAGGCCCATCCTCCTCATGCTGCAGCCCTCCTCTTTCCTGCATCTGGGACTTCAAAGCTCTCAGCATCCCAGATGCTATCTCTCTGCCACCCTCTCCTCTCAGCAGTGTGCACACAGGTGTGTGTGCATGGCCGTGCACACATACGGGCACATGTGGGAGGCAGGAAAGCCTTGTTACAAATGTCTACATTTCCATTTCACCACTGAATCTCCCAGCCTGGGCTATTGCTTCGCTCCTCCTGTTGTCATGTCACTAGTTAATTACATTCTTTACTGAGGTGCGAATGTGTTTTTACAGGGAGCCCAAGTTAGTGTTAACTAGGAAGGAACTGTTAATGTTAAAGATGCATTTACCTCTGTGTGGTGCAGGGCTGGGGCCCTTGGCTGGAGGTGCTGCCCACTGTGAGAGTGCAGCTCCCACCCCATGACCCTGCTACCCTGGCTCCAGGTACAGCCTCCCAGAGTCAAGTTAACTCATCCACTAAGAGAAACTGATGGGACTGCTTAGAAGAGTATCCAGCCAGAACTTCAGACAGCCGTGACCACCCAGCCTTCATGTGCAGACACCTTGGTTCATTTCAGATATTGAGAAGCAAAATTAATTCACTTTAATCCAAAGTTAAATAAATAAGTTGTTCAACCAAAGCCTGCAGGCTGCAGGTTGTCCTTCATGGCTCTTGGTCCATTTCCCTCCTGACTTTTCCTCCCCATGGTCCTTAGTCACCTTTGCACCACCCATCCCATCTGTGTCCCTCCAGACCCCCAGCCCAGGCCTCCTGGGGATCCCATGCTCATCTGCAACCCCAAAAGAGCCACGGCTGCTGCCCTTCCCTTGGAGTTCTGCTCCAATCCCAGAACAGCAAGTTGGCTGGTCTTCCCAGTACCCAGAACTCACTGACAGAGATGCCACACTGGGGCACAGGGCTGCAGGTACACCTGGAGTCAGGGAACCAGACAGGCAGCAGGAGGGTGCCAGCAATGGTGGAAAGGTTTGGGCTCCAAAATGCATGCTGAGGAGGGGGGCTGCTCTATAACCATGCTGGGGAAAGAATCAAATGGCAAATATGGTAGGGATGTGTGGAGAGGAAATAGAATCTGTCCCTTCTAGAACAGAACATACTAGGGAGAGTAGGGATGAGCAGAGCCAGGAGCCCCTTGTTCTCCAATGCCCTAGCTGAGTGCTGCTCTGCCCTCCCACAGGTACTCAGGCTGTAGCTGCCAGGAAGCAATTCTAGCCCAGCTGGAAGTAAGAAGAGGGGAGTGAGCCTCCTGAAGACCATCCCACGGGCCTGGATCACCCAACAGTAAGAAATGCTTTTCTGTCCTTGAACACACAGTTCAATCTTCCAGGCACGTTTCCCTCTCTTCTGAAAGCTTCTAGGGCCAGCTGATCTTGGAACTGACACTTAGTACAGGCAACCTTAGATAGCAAAACCTGCTATTTTTTTTTCATGCTACCTGCTTAACTCCTTCAGGACTAAAGCCAGGCCTTGTCCCTGTATTTGTGTTCTTCTACATGTTCCATGAGCAATAAACTGCTGGTAGGGATGGATAGGGTCATGCTTACATAAATGATGGTCATTGCATTTATACAACTCTCTGGAGCAAGTGCTATCACCTGAGAATTACCTGGGGATGCTAGTAATGAATGCAGTTCCTGGGCCCTGCAGCCAGACTCTGATTCTGTCAGTTGGGGTGAAGACCAATGAATCTGCACCCCAAGGGTTTATGATGAACACTGAGGAAAGTTCATCCCAGGTGTATCTGATGACCTTGAAGAATAGTTCTTTAGAATACGTTAAGTATTTTGAGTAGAGAATCTCATTCAATCCTCTTATTAGACAGGGATATAAATCCTCTAGAATAACTTCATGATCTCACAAACTTAAGTATCAGCAAGAGGCAGGATTGAGAGACCCAGTTATCCAGAACAACCCTTTTTTGCTTCCTAGTATGCCACATGTAAGGGCTGCATCTGTTATGGTGAAATCAGGCCCTAACTCCAAAGGCCCCTGCCCAGGATTTTGTAAGTTTCCCTGATGTCCTAGGGCCACCATGACCTTACAGTTTATGAGCTTTCCTTTGGGGCATGGTAATCATGGCCACGTTCCACACAAAAGCTGGTTTCTCTGCAGAGAGGGAGAGGAAGAGAGAAAGAGCTGGCCACAAAGGTAGATTATGGTTCTGGCAAGCTCCCCAACCAGGTGTAGTAAAGCCACAGATGTTCATAGCGGACCCCATGCCCCAGAGTGAGAGGACTGGCAGCAGTGCCTGGGAAATAGGATGTGCCTATTGCCACCATCTACACGATAGAAAATGGGGAAATGGGTCAATTGGCTGCTGACTCCTGGCATGGACTGTGTCTTTCTGGAGAATGGAGGGCTTCTATGAATGAGACAGAAGCAAAGACACCTATCACCCTTGACCTCCACCTTCTGCATTCCCCCAACACACATGCACACACACATACACACACACACACACACTGACCACTGAACTGTCTTTCCAAATGAGTGACACTATGGTCTGTCCTGGGGCCTAAATACAGTTGAACTATTGCTTGGATGGGTGTGACTGGCAAGGACAATTTTTGCAGCTAATGCTGGAAGTGTGGCAATCAGAGAAGCTGCCAGCTGTCTCACTTAAATTCTTAGCTCTCTTGCTCTCTTTTTTTAAAATCGTTTTGCTTACATAATCCACCCCCTTTTTATTTTCTAATTCTCTCCTTGCAAAGCTGGCACCAGAGGGGAAGGGCTGGGGTGGGGGGTGGGGGTAGCAATTACACATTAGTTTGGGGAGCATTTACATTTTGCAATTACAATTTAAAAATAAGTCTTGTTAATTATCTCCACATGTAATGACAAACCTTAACTGACACACACTCTCCTGGGCCTGCCTGCTGCCTCCCCCTGAAGCCAGAGGCTCAGTGGAGGGAGAAGTTCCCAAGGAGGCACCAGAGGAGGTGGGGACACCTCAGGTCTGAGGGACAGCCAGAGAAATTCATGTGCCTTTGAGGACAGAGATGAGGCTGAGGACATGGACACCGAGACTTCTGGCCTGTAGCTTTTCTCCTCCCTGTGCTCAGGCAGGATCCTGGCCCATCTCTCTGAGCCCTGGTATGGTCAGTCTCTATCCTCAGGAAGCAGCATCAGTGCTCAGAATGTAGTAAAAGGACCCTAACTGCTGATGTTCTCCCAGGTAGGAATTCTCGTCCTGTTGGGCAGACATGGATCCCAGTCAAGAGCCAGTCAAGGACCTGGACACCCATAGGTTGTATAGAGGGGATGATTCCTTACTCAGAGGTCAAAAAAGGAAGAGCATTCATTGGTTTGCCATGTGGGAAAGACACTTCTCTTCTTACCAATGAGTTAGCCCATGTTTATTGGAGGCCTCTGATTTCTGTGGAAGCTCAGGTTTTGAATCCAGACCAACTAAGCTCAGATCATAGTTCTGCTCTTTACTAGCTGTGGGCCTTGGGCAAGTTGAAAAGCTGGAGACTTTTCCCATCACTGTCATTATGTAATTGGGATAATCATAGTTTCTTCCTCGGGCTTCTGTGACAGTGACATCACACAACATCTAGTGCATGGGAAATGCTCAAAAAGAATGGCTCCTGCCCCAGGCCCTCCTCAGCAGCCCCAAGGTGCTTTCTTCTACTCAACATACAAGCTGCTCCTTCCTGGGTATCAGGGACACTCAGAAAGGGTGATGTGGTCTGATTTCTCTAGGTTGCACCTCAAAATCGAGCCATGTGCATCCCAAACAGCTCCTGAACACACCTCCGAACTGGATTCTCTGCAGACTTCAAGCCAGGCTTCTAGTCTAGCCCTCCACTTCTTGTTAGGTCTCTGCCTGATTGGATTTTCACAAGCTCACATACATCTCTCTTTTCTGGACACTACTTCAGTGAGGTAATATTTTTTCACCACCCACCAGCCAGGGCCCCATGCCTGTTTCTTATCAGTGAATGAGGGTAGTGAAGCAGGAGCTCTCTGAGGAGCTTTTCGTCCTGACACCCAGAGCCTACCTCAGTTCCCCTCCAGCAAATACTTGTGTAGAAAGCTGTCTATCTTGTGGGCAGCTTCTCCCAGGCTGGTCTTCACACTGACACAGTCAAGAACCCACAGCTGCTGCTTGAAATACAGTATGCACAAGATTGCCCTTACCTATTGCAAAAAGAGGTGTGCACCTTACAAAGATCTGGAAGGAGAGAAACTTCCCAAAGCAGAACACATGGCCTGGGGCAGAGAACACAGTAGGGGCCATGGTCAGGGAGCTCCTTAAAGGCAGGGTCTATGGCTTCATTTGGGGGGTTATTTTGACACACTAAAATATTATGTTCTGAGGATGGTGTGGCTCGGTGTACAGCACTGGCCTAGCATGCACAAGTCCATGGGTTAGAAAAGAAAAGAAAGAAGGGAAGAGAGAGGGAGAAAGCGGTGGGGGGGGGGGGATTAAATACTGTCCTAACAACTTGCATTTTGAAAAATTGACACATAATAATTGCACATACTTATGAGGTAGAATGTGAGAAATCCACGCATGTATACAATGTGTAATGATTAAATTAGGGTAATTAGCACTTGCTTCTCCTTAAATATTTATCATTTCTTTGTGTAAAATTTGCTTTTTAAACCTAGATTATATGATGGGCTGGTTCCCAGGTCAAAATAAGTAGATATATCACTGTAATTTCCAATTGTTTTATCATTTTTTATTTATATGAGTGTTTAAATTTTTGTAAAATTAGAATTAAGGTATGTGTGAATAAAAGGCAAATAGTGTAAAAGATACAAAATAAGAGTTCTCCCTTCTTTCCTCCACCTCTTTAACCACAATGAACAACTTCTGATTTTGTTTGGTGGCCAATATTTATTGTGCTAAATAATACACATAAGTTCCTCTTTCTTAACTTACCTACCTATCAGCTCCTTGCTGTAAAAGTTGAAAGAATTACCACACATTCTCTCCCTTCCAACTTGCATAAGTTTGATGATTTTTTATCAAATTATATTTAATAGTCTATTTTAGTATGTAATATATATTATATATGCCATATATTATATTATGCAGCATATACTCTACATTAATATAAATATAAATCTTTTAAATTTTAATGTAAAAATATATACTAAGTAATACACATTATATGTAACACTATGAATTACATATAATACTATGTACTATACTATATACTAATTACTACATAATATATATTTTTAAAATACATGTACTAATACACACTGTACAATGTACTACTATATAATATACAGTATATACTATATTATATAATATATATGCAATATATTATTCTATAGTATAATTATTATTTTTATCTACTATTTTTACATTGTTAAGATTTATAAGACCTATATTCTCTTGTATAACTGTAGTTAACTTCTACATTTTTGACTACAGATCAAAATATATGGAAATATGTTAAAAAGCATTTAACCCAGTATGGGTATGGAAATATTGTTCAAACACATAACCACACAGTGTGATTTGACTGTGAAGAGGAAATGAATCCCGTCATTACAATCCTGGCTGCTGCAGTAGAATCTCCTCATCACCGTGGTACAAATAACCCCTTATCTCTGCACCAACCCCCTCCTTTTTTGTTTTTATTTTTGCAGTTCTGGGAACTGAACCCATGACCTCTTGCATCCTAGGCAAGGGTTCTACCCCTAGTTAGTTACACCCCCCGCTGTCTCTCTGAGGTCTTGATTCTTGATGATGTTGCTCCACCTTCTTCTTTCTTCTCCTCTTCTCCTTCCTTCTTCTTCCTCTTCTTCTCTTCCTCCTCCTCCTCCTTTTTCTTCTTCTCTTTTTTGTGGTACTAGGATTAGATTCCAGACCTCACACCTATTAGGTAAGTGTTCTACCACTGAGCTACATTCCCTAGCCTTTTAAAAATTTTACTTTGAGGTAATTTTGCTAAATCTCTCGAACTTGAGATCCTCCCACCTCAGCCACTACAGTTGGACCCACTGACTTCTTATTTCCCATCTTGCAATGAGGATCATGGGAACTTTTGGCTCCCTTTTAGTTTCTCTTTAAAATTGTGAAATTTCACCATTATGTGCTAAGCTTGAGGTTTGTGTTGTTTTCTTTCTTTTCACTTCTCTTAGCCCTTGGGATCCTCTTAAATCTGGTCAGGCTTCAGCTCTGGGAAATGTTCATTCTGCTGTGTCCTTACTTGTTCCCCAGTAGTCTCTGTTTCCTTCCTTCTGTAGTTTCCACTGCCCAGAGCAGTATGTGGCATGCAGTAAGGGATTATTGAGCCTGCTGCTTGGAGCCTGGG